TATTTCACCCTTCTCACCCTGATGGGGACTCAGGGCGGATCACAGTACACATATACGCAATGCCACTTTGTACAAAGACAGAACAGAATTTTTTTTTTCTATTGGACACTTCTCAATTTAAAAAATGCTTCCCATTTTCAAAGGACTTACTTTTTTTCAAGAAGAGTTATTTGATTTTGTATATACCTTAAAAAGTAAGCAAAATGAAGTTCAACAGTGACAAATGCAAGATATTCCACTTAGGCAGGAAAAAATAAATGCAAAGATACAGAATGGGGGACAATGCCTGGCTCGAGAGCAGTACGTGTGAAAAAGATCTTGGAGTCCTCGTGGACAACAAGTTAAACATGAGCCAACAATGTGATGTGGCGGCAAAAAAAGCCAATGGGATTTTGGCCTGCATCAATAGGAGCGTAGTGTCTAGATCTAGGGAAGTAATGCTACCCCTCTATTCCGCTTTGGTTAGACCACACCTGGAATATTGTGTCCAATTCTGGGCACCACAATTCAAGAGAGATATCGACAAGCTGGAATGTGTCCAGAGGAGGCGACTAAAATGATCAAGGGTCTGGAGAACAAGCCCTATGAGGAGCGGCTTAAGGAGCTGGGCATGTTTAGCCTGAAGAAGAGAAGGCTGAGAGGAGATATGATAGCCAATGTATAAATATGTGAGAGGAAGCCACAGGGAGGAGGGAGCAAGCTTGTTTTCTGCTTCCCTGGAGACTAGGACGCAATGGAACAATGGCTTCAAACTACAAGAGAGGAGATTCCATCTGAACATGAGGAAGAACTTCCTGACTGTGAGAGCCGTTCAGCCGTGGAACTCTCTGCCCTGGAGTGTGGTGGAGGCTCCTTCTTTGGAAGCTTTTAAACAGAGGCTGGATGGCCATCTGTCAGGGGTGATTTGAATGCAATATTCCTGCTTCTTGGCAGGGGGTTGGACTGGATGGCCCATGAGGTCTCTTCCAACTCTTCGATTCTATGATTCTATGATTCTATGAAATGCTAATTATGGGATTTGGATCATGTATCATTTAAAAAATATATAAATTGAAGCCATCCCAGCAGTAATTTGGCATCATTTCTGTTTATTCGTGAAGTTTCCCCAGAGTAGAAAGTCACTCTCTAGTCCACTCTAATTTGAAGCTACCTTTTATTAGAAGAGGACTAAGTATCTGGCAGACTATCAACTGTCATGCTCTTTTCTGTCCATGCATAAGGGAGCCCTATATTAAGTTATTGGGAGCTAAGTTTACAAGTTTCATGACCACATTCTCCAACACATTCACACCCACACACACTTTCACAGTATGCTTCTATGAAGGTCTAGCAACATGTGACTCAATATGCACAAAATAATTCAGAACACTTGCCTCCCGCAGCAATCCATGGAGTCATTTAAGGAGAAAATATTAAATTGGCTATGCTTGTAAATGCAACAACAGTAGGCCTTCACCATTAGATGTAGCACTTACTAGCACCATTAGATGTAGCACTTACTAGTAAAAGCTTTCTAGGAGATACTGTTCATCTCTAAAACTTTCTAGGAACTGCCGTTCCTCTCCTCAGAAGAAGACCTACAAGCCACTCTAAACACCTTTGCAGAAGCATACGAGAAGCTTGGCCTGTCATTAAACATCGAGAAAACCAAAGTGCTGTTCCAGAAGTCACTGGCCAGACCCTCTCCAATTCCAGAAATACAGCTTAATGGTGTAACTTTAGAAGATGTTGACCATTTCCGCTACCTTGGCAGCCACCTCTCCACCAAAGTCAGCATTGACACTGAAATTCAACACCGCCTGAGCTCTGCGAGTGCAGCCTTTTTCCAAATGAAGCAGAGAGTGTTTGAGGACCGGGACATCCGTAGGGATACCAAGGTGCTTGTTTATAAAGCTATTGTCCTCCCAACCCTGCTATACGCCTGCGAGACGTGGACTGTCTACAGACGTCACATGCAACTCCTGGAATGATTCCATCAGCGCTGCCTCTGGAAAATCCTGCAAATCTCTTGGGAAGACAAGCGGACAAATGTCAGTGTGCTGGAAGAAGCAAAGACCACCAGCATCGAAGCGATGGTCCTCCGCCATCAACTCCGCTGGACCGACCAATGTTGTCCGGATGCTCGACCATCGTCTCCCAAAGCATTTGCTCTATTTCGAACTCAAGAATGGAATACAGAATGTTGGTGGACTGGAAAAGAGATTTAAAGATGGGCTCAAAGCCAACCTTAAAAACTCTGGCATAGACACTGAGAACTGGGAAGCCCTGGCCCTTGAGCGCTCCAGTTGGAGGTAAGCTGTGACCAGCAGTGCTGCAGAATTTGAAGAGGCACGAATGGAGGGCAAAAGAGAAACATGCCAAGAGCAAGGCACGTCAAGCCAACCCCAACCGGGATCACCTTCCATCTGGAAACCGATGCCCTTACTGTGAGAGAAGATGCAGATCAAGAATAGGGCTCCACAGTCACCTACGAACTCACCCTCAGGATACCACTTGGAGGACCATCATCCTCGGACTACAAGGGATCGCCTAAGTAAGTAAGTAAGTAAGTAAAGTAAGTATGTTCCTCTCTACCATATTCCCCCCCCCCCCAAGAAACAGACTTTGAAACAACCCAGGCCCTTTCCACACAGCTGAATAAAATCCCGCATTATCTGCTTTGAACTGGAATGTGGATTCAAGTAACCCAGTTCAGAGCAGATGTGGGGTTTTCTGTCTTGATATTGGTTGTGTGCAAGGCCCCTCCCCAGTCAAAATAACAATTGCATATTCTGCTCACAAAGCTAAAAAAATAAACAGTCCTGATGCAAGGCTCTGGAGTGTCCTGGTGAATATAAAGAAAATCAAGGTATGATAGCCATGTATAAATATGTGAGAGGAAGCCACAGGGAGGAGGGATCAAGGTATGATAGCCATGTATAAATATGTGAGAGGAAGCCACAGGGAGGAGGGATCAAGCTTGTTTTCTGCTTCCTTAGAGACTAGGACACCAAACAATGTCTTCAAACTACAAGAGAGGAGATTCCATCTGAACACGAGGAAGAACTTCCTGACTGTGAGAGCCATTCAGCAGTGGAACTCTCTGCCCCAGAATGTGGTGGAGGCTCCTTCTTTGGAAGCTTTTAAACAGAGGCTGGATGGCCATCTGTCAGGGGTGATTTGAATGCAATATTCCTGCTTCTTGTCAGGGGGTTGGACTGGATGGCCCATGAGGTCTCTTCCAACTCTTTGATTCTTTGATTCTAAGGCTACTGATGGTGGTCACCACTTTATTCATGTCAAGGAGACTGCAGGATGCAACTACACTTAGAGTATTACACTATAATGTAGCCCTGGATGCTTAGCTTCAAGCTCAGTGTGTCAAGTAAAGCCAGTGTTCTGAGACAAATCTCTTGAATTACAATGGTTGATAAGCTAGCATTTGGTAACTTGCAGTGACTATGTGAAGGAACATCGCTTTAAAAACTTATGTCACTGAAAAAACATAACTGCCATGAAACCCGTACATGTAATGAGGTTGGGGACCCTGTTCAACTCACTGGATGCGACACCCAATTTCCACTAGCATTTAACAAATAACTCCAGGACCTATAACCAATTTTTAAAATAGCACACATCCCATTCTTTGAAGTGAAGGAGGGTTATCAATCTGCAATAATACATCTTTGAGGTGTTGGAGGCAATAAGAGTCTCAAAACCTGACAGAAGTCATATGCAACCCCTGTATCAGTGTGTTAAGTCACCCCGATAAATAAAAACAGAGAATTGTCCCAAACCAACTCTTCTTCTTCTCCTTCTTCTTCATCTTCTTCTTATTATTATTATTATTATTATTATTATTATCTTTATTTACACCCCGCTAACATCTCGAAAGACTCGGTGTGGCTTACAAAAGGCCAAGGCCCTCAATAAAACAACAGCATAACAAATACAACAATAAAACTCATAAAGCAAAACAGTAAACATTAAAGCAATAACAATAAACATTAGAACAATAACACCACAACGCATTTAAAAACTAAAGGCCGGGCCAAATGTAATGAATAACATTTAAAAAGTGCTGGACATGACAGGTGAAATGTATAGGTTTTTAGAGGTAGGTGCGGTGTGCAGACAATCTTAAATCTCTAATAAAGTGCATTTGGGACATGGTGCTAGGAGTTTCCTATTCTGGAAAGGCACACTGGAACGTCTTCAAGCTCTTCCTAAAGACTGCCAACATTGGGGCTTTTCTGATGTCCTTGGGGAGAGAGTTCCAGAGTCGGGGGGCTACCACGGAGAAGACCCTGTCCCTCGTCCCCACCAAATGCGCTTGCGACGCAGGTGGGATCGTGAGCAGGGCCTCTCCAGATGATCGGAGAGATCGTGTGGGTTCGTATACAGAGATGCGGTCACGCAGCTAGGCAGGTCCCAAACCGTTTAGGGCTTTGTAGGTAAGCACTGCACCTTGAATTGGGACCGGAAAATGAACGGCAGCTAATGGAGCTCCTTAAACTGGAGGGTTGACCTCTCTTTGTAAGGAGCACCAGTTAACAACCTGGCTGCCGCCCATTGGACCAGTTGGAATTTCCAGGCCGTTTTCAAGGGCAGCTCCACGTAGAGCGCATTGCAGTAGTCCAATCTGGAGGTGACCAAGGCATGGACCACCCCGGCCAGATCAGCCTTCACGAGGTACGGTCACAGTTGGCGCATGAGTCTCAATTGTGCAAAAGCCCTCCCGGCCACCACCGACGCCTGAACCTCAAGCGTAAGTGATGAGTCCAAGAGGACACCCAAACTGCAGCATCTTCCGCATCTGATTTTACAGTTCAATGAGCAATTATTCTCCAAGGCCTCCAAGGTAGATGGCCTTTCCCAACATATTTATGATAGAACATTCATACATAAAGGTTATTGTCTGCTACTTGAGAAATGTGGATCTATGAATTACTTTTTTGTTTCTCTATTTCATTTAAACAAATATGTTAACAGCACCCTTTAAAAATGTTTAATACACATACCTCAGTGAAGTTCTGCAAATGTTCAGTAGGATCATTTGGTGAAATGAATGCACTCTGGTCTGTCCTGAAGAATAAAAATGGACAGGAGATGGGTCATTCTTTTTTCCAAAATGCATCAATTTCAGCAAGCCGTACAGATTTTTTTGTGACAAAACTGAAATCCCACCACATTTATGACAATGAAGATTTTTTTTTTATTCTGGCCAACTCATTAAAAACACACGTTAGATAAAACAAAACTCACTCAGGACAGTATGGGATGGGAATGATGTATGAATTCTGATAATGTATTTATATAACTTTAAATGCCAAAAATCATAAAGAGTTAAACCAATCCAAAAATTATATATTAGTGAATATCTACAGCCAGGCATGTAGCCGGGGGGGACGGGGACTTGGGAGGCTTCAGCCCCCCCCCCCCCCAAAATTCTCATGGTGGTCTACGAGAAGGCCTTACTGGTACATTATTTAAACTGTTATGTTTATTCATATCATGATCTGATCACCATGCTCAATATATCCCATATGCATGGGGTATTGGGGTAACGATACAAAAGGTTTGCTAGAGTAGACCCTCTTTCACTCAGACTCAGCCCCCCCCGAAACAAACTCAGCCCCCCCCCAAAAAAAATCCTGGCTACGGGTCTGTCTACAGCAGGGGTTCACAAACTTTTTAAACAGAGGGCCAGGTCACAGTCCCTCAAACTGTTGGCGGGCCAGATTATAATTCGAAAAAATACGAATGAATTCCTATGCACACTGCACATATCTTATTTATAGTGCAAAAACATTTAAAAACAATACAATAATTAAAATTAAGAACAATTTTAACAAATATAAACTTATTAGTATTACAATGGAAAGTGTGTGCTGTTGAGATAGGATTGTTGTTGTTATTGTGTGCTTTCAAGTAGTTTCATACTTAGGTTGACCCTGAGCGAGGGCCGGGTAAATGACCTTGGAGGGCCGTATCCGGCCCCCGGGCCTTAGTTTGAGGACCACTGATCTACAGAGAACACATAACATTGCGAAGATGAAGGAGGAGGTCTTACTTGAAAGAGTCTGATTCAAAATACAAGGAATAATCCAAGGTAATCAATAAATGATCAAAATATGTGTCTCTCAACTGTTAGAAAACCTTGACAAGGATAACTCTGAACTGACGAAAATCTTCTCAATTTGAGGTTTATTTCTGCATAGAATTCAGTCATGGTTCTTTTTGTGAAGAAAAATACCACATTCTGTGATTGAAATAGTAATTTCTGTGTAGAAAATGCTGTTTTCTGCACAGAAAAAACATGTATGAATTGTGTGCAGAATAAATCTCTAACGCATCATTCTGCAGAAAAAGGTGCATTTTCTTCACAGAAATAAAATACTATTTTCTCCACAGGAAATGCTGCATTATCTGCAAAAATGTACATAGTAGGTTCCAGAAATGCAAATTGCCATCAAAAACTGTGCAGTTCTCAAAAATCTTCTCACATCAGAAAAATAAACTGATAAAATTGTTCATTGCTTCTTTTGAGAACAAAATCAGTGGAATATAGTTCTATTGATAATGACACGTCTGTCTATTTGCCTCATAGGAAACAAATTCCACTTAAAATGTGTGACTTAATGTCTTTGGTTTGAAATGTGCCTTTTGTCAGTAGACAACAATGGAAATTGTTGTCTGCATCCTAAGATCAAGGGTGTCTGTACAAGCTGAAAACTCAGATCTATAAGAGATCATTTTTAAGAACTTTGCATTCTTATTGATTGTACAATAAACACACACTTTAATATCCCTCTGATATTAAAATCGATATTTAAATATTCAACATTTAACATTGAAAATAAGACCCCGGGCAAGGTCTTTTGATAAGTGTGCATGAGAGAAAGATGAGGGTTCTCTCTTGGGGTCCAATAATACTGGTTTCAAGGAATGTGTCGAGTTTTGCAGTGTCTGGATCTCATCAGTAAACACTGACATTTACAGAATACTTGAATGTGCCGAGTTCTATCCAATAGTATGTGTAAGCAGAAGAAATTACAAGGGTCTCAATACCTATTGTTTGCATTTAGGGGAAATCAACTGATCCCTAATCCATCTAAAACACAGACATGTGCTTTTCATCTTAAGAACAGACAAGCATCCCGAGCTCTGAGAATGACCTGGGAAGGAATCCCACTGGAGCATTGCAGCGCACCCAAATACCTGGGAGTCACTCTGGACCGTGCCCTGACCTACAAGAAGCACTGCCTGAACATCAAGCAAAAAGTGGGTGCTAGAAACAATATCATACGAAAGCTGACTGGCACAACCTGGGGATCACAACCAGACACAGTGAAGACATCTGCCCTTGCGCTATGCTACTCTGCTGCTGAGTACGCATGCCCAGTGTGGAACACATCTCACACACTAAAACAGTAGATGTGGCTCTTAATGAGACATGCCGCATTATCACAGGGTGTCTGCGCCCTACACCACTGGAGAAATTACACTGCTTAGCCGGTATTGCACCACCTGACATCCGCCGGGAAGTAGCAGCCAATAGTGAAAGGACCAAGGCAGAGACATCTCCAGCTCATCCCGTTTGGGTATCAGCCAGCACGTCAACGACTTAAATCAAGAAATAGTTTTCTTAGATCTACAGAGACACTCGCTGGAACACCTCAGCAAGCGAGAGTCCAAAAGTGGCAGGCTCAAACCCAGAACCTCAATCAATGGCTGATACCAAATGAGAGACTCCCCCCTGGGCACACAGAAAACTGGGTGACTTGGAAGGCGCTGAACAGACTGCACTCTGGCACCACGAGATACAGAGCCAATCTTAAGAAATGGGGCTACAAAGTGGAATCCACGACATGCGAGTGTGGAGAGGAGCAAACCACTGACCACCTGCTGCAATGCAACCTGAGCCCTGCCACATGCACAATGGAGGACCTTCTTGCGGCAACACCAGAGGCACTCCAAGTGGCCAGATACTGGTCAAAGGACATTTAATCAACTACCAACTTTGCAAAATCTGTGTTTTTTTTAATCTGTTTGTTTTGTTCTGTTAGAAATGTAATACAATGGTATGGTTGCTGATCACACGATAAATAAATTTAGGGGAAAGCTTTAGTAGGCATGAATGGGAATTTTATTCCCAACACATAAATGGCAGCAGGCAGGGGATTATGTAGATCAGTGCTTCTCAACCTGTGGGTCCCCACATGTTTTGACCCACAACTGTCAGAAATCCCAGCCAGTTTACCAGCTGTTAGGATTTTGGGTGTTGAAGGCCAAAACATCTGGGGACCCACAGGTTGAGAACCACTGATGTAGGTCAAGTCCCCTAACTTCCATGAAGGTTCCAATCTGATGATTGCTCATTTTTCAAAAATCAAGTCATTGCTAATTGTTTTTGTGCTTAGGAAGCCTTGGGATTTGGGAATTTGAGCCAACTCACATTGGAAACACTTATTACAGTTTACACAAGGTGGCAGAAACAGAGAGTAGTTCTGAAGTTAACCATGGGATCTTTTCCCACTTGGTCAAAAACAACAGTTATTAATAGTCACAGAGAAAAACAAAAAGGTCAGTGGTTCATAATATTTTTCCTAGCAACATGCCCAGTGCCCACAATGGATGCTTGCTTTTGCCATAGAAGTACCGGGTTCGCCGATAAAACTAAAAATAACTACATGTTTGAAAACAACTTCTAGCTTCTCTTAATTTAGAGCTCAGTTTACCTTGGCACAGAACTGTTGTCTTCTACCACCACCCCTTTTCCCCGTTTTTCTTTTTATGCCGCAGAGTATATCCACAGCACTGTCTCAAAGAGACATCGTACAGTGCACCAATCACTGAAGGCATTCTAGTAGGAGTTCAATAAATTTCCTGTTTTTGTAAAGGAAGGAAGGAAGGAAGGAAGGAAGGAAGGAAGGAAGGAAGGAAGGAAGGAAGGAAGGAAGGAAGGGCAAATAACCCAAAAGAGCACAAAATATTCACTTGACTGGCTGGATCAATTTGTGCAAGGCTGTAAGGAAAGAAGAACGAATGTCAACTTTGATCTGCATCTCGGTGGCAGTGAAAAGATTTGTTTACTCAGAAGAGAATACCTGGGTTGAAATTTGATGACTGTTTCCTGGTATCTGAATGCCACATTCTCTGGGTAATCATTAGCAGGAGTTCCTGTCTTCCTTTGACAGTCAGAGAGCCAGGGCAATGCATTTCCCATGTCCTGAGGAAAGGAGAGAGAGAAAAACACACAGAGAGAAATACAACATACTCAAGTAAACAGTGGGCAGACGGATGTCAAGTGTCTATTTTTGGAGGGACAAAAAAAAAGAGTATGCATGTAATCAAAGGTTATCTAGGGAAAGGCGAGACGGGGAGAGGCCCCAAAGGGAAAACCACAGGCTCTGTACCGTATTTTCGTCTCAATATAAGGGTAACAACATGTTAAAAAAATGTACTAAAGAGAGTTATTCCACAATGAATATTTGTGTATCACATTTATGCTGTTACTATTCTTTGATGTCAATTTCACAAACCATATTATGCCTTGAAACCCAACAATATATATATATTTTTTCAAAATGATAACAGACATATAAGATAAATTAGTAAGTAATTTTATTGATTAGCCCTTAGGCCATATCACAATAAGAAAGAAAACAACAAGGACTGACAAGACCTTATCACACTCCACTTAGTAAGTTAAAATACAATACTTATAACAATACAGTAAGTAAATATGATAAGACATGATAAAACTGATAAACTGATCAAGCTGAGTATATACATCATATTTCATTATCACTCCTACAATTTACCCCAATCAGCCCTACATATGTGGTTCTCAGACGTATTGTTTTGCTTAAGTACAGAGCTGTTTTATACGTTATTTTTGGGTCTTGGCCACACATAAAATATGTTGTTCTGATGTGAGATTCCCAATACATTGTCCGTTTGATATATGGACCAAGGTGGAAGTCTCTCACCTTTTGATACAATTTGCAATCAAATAATATGTGTGCTATATCCTCAATGTCAGGTGCCCCGCAGATATGACTCCGTTCATTATAAGGGATGCTGTTAAATCTCCCGTATCTAACCATTGTCTCGAGTTGATCAAATCTGGCTCAAGTGAATACCTCCCTAAGATGTTTTGGTATTTGCATTTTTAGGTAGTTAGCAGTTTGAAAGCTACGTTTATATTGACTCAGCCATTTTAGGTTAGCAGTCTTACTGAGGGTGGCTATATATTTTGTGCTTCTATGTCCAAAATTCTTTGTATAGCACCCTTTCTTACTTGGTCATTTGCGGTGCAGGAGACAGGAAGCCCACAACTTCTTATATAATTTGTCAGTTGTGTAATCCAGGAAGTCGGTAGTTGGGATTTTATCTGATAAAGGATATTGATATTACAGTCGAGGGAATGGGCCACTCACAACTCCTCCTCAAAGCCTTCCAAAACTTCAATGTTAAATTCAATAGCAAAGTGGGAATTTCCCTTTTGAAAGAAGGACAGACTAGGGTTTTGTTTTTGTTTTGTTTTTTAAATATAGATGTGGGACTCTTGTGATATAGTTGAATTTTGGGAGCAAGTCACAAACACATCTATTTAAAGCATACATTCCCCTTAGTTTGAAGCAGTACGTCTGGTTTGCTGCTAAATAAGGTGGCACGGCAGTGGGGAGTAAGTCCTGTGAAATAGAGGAATTACCTGTTTCCAACCCATTAGTCTTACAAGAGTCTTGCTTCTGACTGAAAAACAAGCCCTGGAGACAGCAACCAAAAAGCCCACTATATGGTTCAGATATGTGGATGACACCTTCACCATTTGGAGCCATGGAGAAGAAGAACTCAACAGGTTCCTGGGCCATCTTAACAGCATCCACCCAAAAATCCAATTCACAATGGAAAAAGAAAATGAAGGAAGACTGCCTTTTCTAGTCATCCGCAAACAAGATCAACAATTGGGTCACACCGTCTACAGAAAACCCACACACACAGATAGACATCAACATAAAAACTCCAACCATCACTCAAGTCAAAAAAGAAGCACCATTAAAGCCTTGGCAGACCGTGCAAAAAGAATCTGCGAACCCCACCTCCTCCAAGATGAACTGAACCACCTCAACTGGGCTCTCCAGGCCAATGGATACTCCACCTCAGACATCAGAAGAGCTGCAAGACCAAGAACAAGCCACGAGAGTAAAGATGAAGATCCACCCAGAGGAAAAGTGTTCCTGCCATACATCAAGGGAACCACTGACCGCATAGGGAAGCTGATGAGGAAACACAACATACAACAATCTACAAACCCACCAAGAAAATCCAACAAATGCTATGTTCAGCAAAGGACAAGAGGGATCCTCTCACCTCTGCAGGAGTCTACCGTATACCATGCAGCTGTGGACAAGTCTACATAGGGACCACCAAACGCAGCATTGCCCAACACGAATCAAGGAACATGAAAGGCACTGCAGACTACTTCAACCAGAGAAGTCAGCCATAGCAGAGCACCTGATGAACCAACCTGGACACAGCATATTATTTGAGAACACAGAAATGCTGGACCACACCAACAACAACCATGTCAGACTACACAGAGAAGCCATTGAAATCCACAATCATGTGGACAATTTCAACCGCTGTGAGTCGCCTTCGGGCTTGAGATACAGCGGTATATAAGCAAAGTAAATAAATAAATAAATAAATAATAAACAGAAAGGAAGAGACCATAAAAATGAACAAAATCTGGCTACCAGTATTAAAAAACTCTAAAATTACAACAGCAAAACAGCAGAGAGGAAACAACCAGGCACATCTTAACACCTCTCAACAAAAGATTTTCCCAGGCTCAGCCAGGCCTTCAAATGCTAATGAAGGTGGTCAGTTGAAACATTCACACCTAGCTCCAGCAGAAGAGTCTTTGTCCCACCCTGGTCATTCCACAGATATATAAACCCATTGTCCTATTTCCAACAGACCTCACTACCTCTGAGGATGCTTGCCATAGATGCAGGCGAAACGTCAGGAGAAATGCCTCTAGAACATGGCCCTATAGCCCGAAAAAACCCACAAGAACCTAAACAAATCTACTTCACCTGATCTGGCTGCTAGCTGTATAGAGCAATTAGAGATTCATAACGCTATGTTACAAATCGGTAAGTGCCATACTGTATACCAGCCTGGGAATTTTGTTCTCCTGAAAATTTGGCTTAGAATGCTTCCATCTTCCAATTTATGTTTTGTTTAATCTACTTTGCATGGATATTAGAATCTTGTCATGGTCCATGGCTTTCCAACAAATTCCTAGCTTCAGGCAGCCTATTCTACAGTTATTCATCAGTTACAAAATCTGACTATATTTTAAATATGTTAGAGCAAGGGAAAGAAGACCGCCTGTAGTCCGCAGACCGTCTGAAAAGCCCATGCTTTACCCATGTAAAGCATGGGCTTTTCAGGCAGTCTGCCAACTACAATCTGCCCAAACTGGGTGTTGTTTTTTTTAACCCGGGTCAGCGTGGACTTTTCCACTGTGTGGAACTGCCCTGAGTCCACACTGCCATATTTTCCAGTTCAAGACAGAAAATGTGGGATTTTATTCAGCTGTGTGGAAGGGGCCTTTGTTGCACCTCAGCCAGAGTTCACCTTGCCCTTAACACCAACCAGGACTCCAGAAGCAATAATAGAACAGTTTATTGAAGATACTACATATAAAAAAGGGAGTCACCAAAAGAGATAAGAAAGACAAAATCCAACAGGTAATCAGAAAAAATAATTCACAGGAAAAAGCCCAATCAAGCTGATAAGGAGTAAAACACTTTTTAAACAGAGGGCCAGGACACAGTCCCTCAAACTGTTGGAGGGCTGGGTTATAATTTGAAGAAAAAAAACATGAACAAATTCCTATGCACACTGCACCTATCTTATGTGTAGTGCAAAAACCGCTTAAAACAATACAATAATTAAATGAAGAACAATTTTAACAAATATAATATTAGAAATGTTGGACCACTCCAACAACCACCATGTCAGACTACACAGAGAAGCCATTGACATCCACAAGTATGTGGACAATTTCAACAGAAAGGAGGAAACCATGAAAATGAACAAAATTTGGCTACCAGTATTAAAAAACTCTAAAATTAGAACAGCACAACAACAGAGAGGAAACAAATAAGGGCATCTAATCACCTCTCAACAAAAGATTGCCCCAGGCACTGTCAGGCCATTATAATGTCAGGCCAGGCTAATCAAGGTGGTCAGTTGAAACATTCACACCTAGCTCCAACAGACAAGAGTCCTTTGTCCCACCCTGGTCATTCCACAGATATATAAACCCCTTTTTCCTAGTTCCAACAGACCTCACTACCTCTGAGGATGCTTGCCATAGATGCAGGCAAAACGTCAGGAGAAAATGCCTCTAGACCATGGCCATATATAGCCCAAAAAAACCTGCAACAACCTACCCAGTGCAGTCAATAGAAAAGGAGAATGGAAAAAAATCTACAACAACCCAATATTATTAGTATTTCAATGAGAAGTGTGGGCCTGCTTTTGGCTGATGAGATAGGATTGTTGTTGTTGTTGTTGTTGTGTGCTTTCAAGTCATTACAGACTTAGGTTGACCCTGAACGAGGGCCTGGTAAATGACCTTGGAGGGCCGCATCCGGCCCCCGGGCCTTAGTTTGAGGACCCCTGTTCTACACCAACTAAATATTTCCTGGCATAAACCCATTCCCAGCCCACCTTAAGAATCAGAAACTGGATCAAGTGAAAGGGGTCTGTTCAATAGCCAATCAGGACACAAAGAGGGTGATATTTTAACCCATCCACTCCAGTGAGTGAATCTGTGACAAGGACCTGCAACAGGAGTCCTACTTCTGATTGTCACAGCCTCATTGGCTGGCTCAAGAGGGTTTGAAATTGATCTTCCTTGCATGCTAATCAGAAGAAGCCAAGCAGAGCTCTTTTGCATTACCCAGCTGTTGGTTGTACATAACTATTAGAGATCCATAACTCTAGAATATGAATCTGTAAGTGTCATACTAAGTAACAAACTTGGAATTTTGTTCCCCTCTTAGGTAGACCTATCAGAAGCTCCTCCTGGAAACTTTGGCAGAAAATTGTTCCTTCTTCCAATGCATGTTTGTTTAATGTATAGCTAGTACCTAGCACTGTCAAGTCCAAGTTCCATGGTGTTCTCCAGAACAAACCAATAATAAT